AGCAGTTAACACCGTCAAATTGGAGGAAATATTGACGGAAGCATTACCCACTTGATCTGTCATACACTGAGAGACATAGACAACACAGATTGCCTGATATGGCCTAAAAAAAAATGTTGTGGTTCCGATTACCCGACCGACCCTTGAATTCTTGCACCGACCCTATTTTTTTTAAGCGGTATGATAAAAAAAGAAGCCTTCAGATACCATTGTTTTTTCCCGGGACCGACAGACATTGGTCATTCTGATAGATAAAGTCGACATTATGGCCTCAAGCTTGATTGAATAAACTGTTTACTTCTAAAACAAAATGTATCAAATAAAATAAAAATCCTACCTACCTACCCTAAATTTTAAAAACGTGTAATCGGAACCACAGCATTTTTTAATTTGGCCTATACTGTAAATCACGTAATTTTTGCGTCGCGATATTTTTGCAAGTGGCGACCAACAGACGTTTTTGTGTCATGATATTTTTGCAACTTGCCTAATTCTCAAAAATATATTGCAACTGAAAGTTCTACCTAAAGAATATCCAATCACATATTAAAGGTTGCCGCTAATCTTGAACTGAGCTCAGTGGAGTATTTGCGTGTGTATGCAATCAGTGATGTTTTCCTAAAAACAACACACGCTGCACATGCCAGATAAGCTTAAAACATGAAAGACAATAACATCACCAAAGCTGTTGATCTCCGGATAAGTGTGATGGAACCTATCCACGCCCGTTGTATGGTGTTGGTCTATCTAATTCTGTTGTTGATTATATGAACTGATGAATAATTAAGAGATAATGAGACACGTTATTTGTTGATTGTTTATTGGTTTGACCAGCAAATTGTGTCATGATATTTTTGCAAGCTCAAGTCATTCGCAATTTTTGCAAAAATATCATGCTTGCAAAAAATTCGTGATTTACAGTAGGAATGCCATGATACATGATACTTTTTCTAAGACGATACAATTATTGATACATTCAAAACTGTATTGATATTTAGTTTGAATGTATCGGTTTACATATGTTTATGTCTCGTTTACATTTTGCAATTGTATCATGTTTTTTGATGTTATGAGAGTTATAAATGATTATTTTTTATGCACAAAGATGGGAAATTAGAACTTTAATCTCTGAGAATAAAAAATGTTGATCTTTTCATTGACAACTAAAAAATATGAAATATTAGTGTTCAAAATGTAACTAAATTTACATAATAATGCCGCCATAATAGGTATTGTGATACGAATCGATTCGTGACACGGGTATCGTGATACGTATCGATTCATGAAACTTATGTATCGTGACATCCCTAATATACAGTATACTCATGCCTAATGTCTGACCAATCAAGACAAGGTTTCCGGGATTATTAGCTCTTCTTATGAAAGAAGCTCTCAAACTATTGTAGCGTTTTGATCTTCTATGGTGAAATCTGACATATTTGTTAAAACCCTCTACCATCAGCTAAAGGTGAAATCTGACATATTTGTTAAAACCCTGTACCGTCAGCTAAAGGTGAAATCTGACATATTTCTTAAAACCCTCTACCATCAGCTAAAGGTGAAATCTGACATATTTGTTAAAACCCTCTACCGTCAGCTAAAGGTGAAATCTGACATTTTTGTTAAAACCCTCTACCATCAGCTAAAGGTGAAATCTGACATATTTGTTAAAACCCTCTACCGTCAGCTAAAGGTGAAATCTGACATATTTGTTAAAACCCTCTACCGTCAGCTAAAGGTGAAATCTGATATTTGTTAAAACCCTCTACCGTCAGCTAAAGGTCAAATCTGACAGATTTGTTAAAACCCTGTACCGTCAGCTAAAGGTAAAGTCTGACATATTTGTTAAATCCCTCTACCGTCAGCTAAAGGTGAAATCTGACATATTTGTTTAAATCCTCTACCGTCAGCTAAAGGTCAAATCTGACATATTTGTTAAATCCCTCTACCGTCAGCTAAAGGTGAATCTGACATATTTGTTAAAACCCTCTACCGTCAGCTAAAGGTGAAATCTGACATATTTGTTAAAACCCTCTACCGTCAGCTAAAGGTGAATCTGACATATTAGTTAAAACCCTCTACCGTCAGCTAAAGGTGAAATTTGACATATTTATTTAAACCCTTCACCGTCAGCTAAAGGTGAAATCTGACATATTTGTTAAAACCCTTTAACATCAGCTAAAGGTGAAATCTGACGTATTTGTTAAAACCCTTTAACATCAGCTAAAGGTGAAATCTGACGTATTTGTTAAAACCCTTTAACATCAGCTAAAGGTCAAATCTGACATATTTGTTAAAACCCTTTACCATCAGCTAAAGGTGAAATCTGACATATTTGTTAAAACCCTCTACCGTCAGCTAAAGGTGAAATCTGACATATTTGTTAAAACCCTCTACCATCAGCTAAAGGTGAAATCTGACATATTTGTTAAAACCCTCTACCGTCAGCTAAAGGTGAAATCTGACATATTTGTTAAAACCCTCTACCGTCAGCTAAAGGTGAAATCTGACATATTTTGTTAAAACCCTCTACCGTCAGCTAAAGGTGAAATCTGACATATTTGTTAAAACCCTGTACCGTCAGCTAAAGGTGAAATCTGACATATTTGTTAAAACCCTGTACCGTCAGCTAAAGGTGAAATCTGACATATTTGTTAAAACCCTCTACCATCAGCTAAAGGTGAAATCTGACATATTTGTTAAAACCCTGTACCGTCAGCTAAAGGTGAAATCTGACATATTTGTTAAAACCCTCTACCTTCAGCTAAAGGTGAAATCTGACATATTTGTTAAAACCCTCTACCATCAGCTAAAGGTGAAATCTGACATATTTGTTAAAACCCTCTACCGTCAGCTAAAGGTGAAATCTGACATATTTGTTAAAACCCTCTACCGTCAGCTAAAGGTGAAATCTGACATATTTGTTAAAACCCTCTACCGTCAGCTAAAGGTGAAATCTGACATATTTGTTAAAACCCTCTACCATCAGCTAAAGGTGAAATCTGACATATTTGTTAAAACCCTCTACCGTCAGCTAAAGGTGAAATCTGACATATTTGTTAAAACCCTCTACCATCAGCTAAAGGTGAAATCTGACATATTTGTTAAAACCCTCTACCGTCAGCTAAAGGTGAAATCTGACATATTTGTTAAAACCCTCTACCGTCAGCTAAAGGTGAAATCTGACATATTTGTTAAAACCCTCTACCATCAGCTAAAGGTGAAATCTGACATATTTGTTAAAACCCTCTACCGTCAGCTAAAGGTGAAATCTGACATATTTGTTAAAACCCTCTACCGTCAGCTAAAGGTGAAATCTGACATATTTGTTAAAACCCTCTACCATCAGCTAAAGGTGAAATCTGACATATTTCTTAAAACCCTCTACCGTCAGCTAGTAGTGGGGATAGAACTGACATCATAGTATGTCAGAAATACCACAATAAATGTTTTGTCTAATCTTGAAGGCCTTCAACTAAACATCAGGCAAAACATTGATATTTCCCGGTATGTGTAGAAGTATGAGTTCCTGTTTAATATCACCCACTATCTGGTGATACTAGAGATCCCGTCCGTCCCTAGTGTGTCCTGGAAGTTTAGGTTTTTGCTGGGATTATCAAACAATAGTTATTATTGTGTATCATACTGAGAATCTTCTCTGTTTCACAAGAAAGGTGTGCCTCTGGCATCCAAAATGTCTGCATCTAGTTGACAAGCATCTTGGGATGAGAGCATTAATGGTTTCGGGCCTTGTGTAACACAGATGAAGATGACGAAGATGGAGTCGGCAGCACAACTTTCTACACCAGTGGTGTCATTGATGAGGATGTTGAGGGGCGGTGGGGTACCCTAGTGGTTAAAGCGTTGGCTCGTCACGCCGAAGACCCGGGTTCGAATCCCCACATGGGTAATGAGTGAAGCCCATTTCTGGTGCCCCCTGCCGTGATATTGCTGGAATATTGCTAAAATCGTCGTAAAACCAAACTCAGTCAGTCAGTGATGAAGATGTTGAGCATTTCTCAACTTGTATAGTGTACTAGTCGCAGTTAACGGCGACGCATGCCTCTGATGTATCAGAGGGAATATTTTAGAATTTTCATACACAAAGATACGACTCTGCTTTGTAAGCGATGACTCAGCAGACATGTTAGACCAATGCTTAGTCTCTGAATATATATAATTTTGATAGTAACAAACAAGCCCATTTATATTGAAAAGGAGCCCTAGGGAGACCAAAGATAATCTAGACTTGCTTTATTTAGGGCTTTAGCACTGCAGAGAGGGCTTGGCAGTAGGGAAATTAATGTGGTTCAGGGACTGTGAGACAGACTACAGACATGTGGACAGGAGATGTTGTATACCCGACTCTCCAGGCCTCCTTGTCCTGACAATGAAGTCAACTGGGTCACTGTGTCCTACGTACTAGGGCTGGGACATGTCCCGATTTTCTACCCGTGTATCCTGCCCCCTATTACCCTACCCTACCCAAATACCTGTTATGTTTGCAAGAAATGGCAATATATTCTTCAGCTCCGAGGCTAAAATATCGAATTTTCCAATATCTTAACCTTGTATTATATTCAAAAGAATGACTGTAATTATGTCTAAATCTTCAAAGACAATACAACCTTTTAATCATGAAAGAATAACATATTACATTGTTTAATCTATCAGTCACATGATCATAATGGGTCCGGGTATTGAGACGGGTACCCGGGTCCCACTCATTACCCACCTGTCCCGGGTATCTGGGTATCCGGGTTCCCCGTCCCAGCCCTACTACATACTTCTGGTGTACAGCTGTCTAGGAGCCTAGGTTTATATTGGAAACAGAATGGGATTCTTCCATGTGAACTGGAATCAGAATATTGTTCATGTTCATTGCCACAAAATCTGATCATCATCAGTTCGCTGTGCAGCTTGTTCACGAGCCCTGACCGTGGTGAGTTTACATTGCCACATAACACCTGTATGTCAACAGGCCCCATAAGAATCTCAACCTACAAACCTACTTTGCTCTACTGCTTACAGCAGAGTTATCTATGTGCTGGCAAATTTGATCCAGGTTTTGGCCTTGCAAAAGTGCATTTTATCTTGAAGGACAGGTAGGTTGACAAGCACCTCTCAATACATGTGCTGCTTATTGCACTGTTAGATATGCTTAAATATGCGGGATGTAGAAACTGAGTGACCCATTTGTACCGGGTAACTTATAACAGCAGACGAACTCTTGTCTATTATCAGTCTGTGTGTGTTGTATTGTTGCTTGTTGGATGTTGACTGTATATGTCGACAATCAGAGTTCTTGTCATCGGTTGACTTTATCTGTCGACAGAGTACTTGTTATCCATTGACTATATGTGTCGACAGTCAGAGCACTTGTCATCCGTTGTCTATATATGTCGACAGCACTTGTCATCCGTTGTCTATATCTGTCGACAGTACTTGTTATCTGTTGACTATATGTGTCAACAGACAGAGTACTTGTTATCTGTTGACTATGTATCTACGGTCAGAGCACTTATAATCTGTTGACTATATCTGTCGACAGCACCTATCATCTGTTGTCTATATCTGTCGACAGTACTTGTTATCTGTTGACTATATCATGTGTCGACAGACAGTACTTGTTATCTGTTGACTATGTATCACGGTCAGAGCACTTATAATCTGTTGTCTTATCATCTGTTGTCTATATCTGTCGACAGTACTTGTTATCTGTTGACTATATGTGTCGACAGACAGAGTACTTGTTATCTGTTGACTATGTATCTACGGTCGGAGAACTTATCATCTGTTGACTATAGGTTTCAACAGAGTACTTGTTATCTGTTGTCTATATCTGTTGAGAGTACTTGTCATCCGTTGACTATATGTGTCGACAGTACTTGTTATCTGTTGACTGTATCTACAGTCAGAGCACTTATAATCTGTTGACTATATCTGTTGACAGTACTTGTCATCCGTTCACTATATCTGTCGACAGTACTTGTTATCTGTTGATTGTATCTACAGTCAGAGCACTTATAATCTGTTGACTATATCTGTCGACAGCACTTATCATCTGTTGTCTATATCTGTCGACAGTACTTGTTATCCGTTGACTATATGTGTCGACAGAGACAGAGTACTTGTTATCTGGTGACTATGTGTGCTGTAATCAGAGTACTTGTCATCTGTTGAGTAAATGTGTTGACAGTCCGAGTACTTGTCATCCGTTGACTATAGTCTCTGTTTGCAGTGAAAACGTACCGATGAATTTCACTTTAAACCAAAAAGTCAATCAAGTTAAGTGAAATTAAGATTGCGAATCCTCATAATTTTACCTTGCCAAATGAACATTTAAATCTCAGAATTGTATTCAACTTAGGATAAAAGTTGTTTAACAAACGATCATAAATTCAAATCGCTATTATTGGTTTGTATTACAAGGGGGTGAGCGCAGTAGATGGAACATTGAAACAAATGCACGTGCGGTACGTGATGAGCGTTAACTTAAACCAACACTACTTGTTCTTGATGTTTCATTTAAAGTGCACTTTATTCGATTTACCTTTTTGTTTAGAGTGAAATTCATCTGTACGTTTAACTGCAAACAGACTATATATGTGTCGATAAACAGTACACGTACTTTCGTCATCCATTGAGTAAATGTGTTGACAGTCAGAGTAAGTACTTCGTCATCCTGGGAGAAAATGTCATCCGTTGAGAAAATGTGTCGATTCTTCAAATAATCTGAATTGTGCATGTGGGTATCCGTGGGAAGATTCTCTCCATTACTTCTTTTCTTGCCCTTGTTATGACTTTATAAGATCAGATAAATATTTCTACACTAATGGTTTTGATTTCAATTCAATTCTCCATGGTAATCAAACTTCAAGCAACATCATAAATCAGCTTATTCTTCGATAATCAGAGTACTTGTCATCTGTTGAGTAAATGTGTTGACAGTCAATGTAATTGTCATCTGTTGACTAAATATTTTGCATCTTTAAAGCATCGCTTGCTTGGAGCTCTTCTACCTGGAATCCATTTTTTGGTTCGGTTTAAACAGCGTAGCTTTACTGAACAAGCCATTGTAACCTAGGTCACATGTCCTGTTCTCAGTCCCACTTATTCCACTTCACAGTCCTCCAGATAGCTCTTTAACTAGGGCTGCGCAATATAACCGGTTTACCGGTATTTACCGGTTCAGACATGGAAACGATACGTATTGCGATACGCTGATCGAAAACCGGTATTTTAACATGCATTCTAAAAACTTCGTAACACTCGGAAATCTTCGGATATTTCTGTTTTTTAAATTGTTCCTTTCCTTGTTTCATTTGTGCCAAACATTATTTACATTTATATTTTGCCATGATTAAAAGTGTTCTTAAAGCCTAAGCAAGCATTGTGATTTTGTTGTGTTTTTCTTTACGAATCAAGCATTAACTCGATTATAAGTATTTTTTTTGGTAAAAATAATTCTTGCAATATATTGCAATACATATCGCAATACATGCTTTCGCATCGCAATATATCGCAATATGAAAATTCCCTGCAATACCCACCCCTATCTTTAACCTTCGGCGTATGTACGTGTGAGAATCCCTCTTTAAATAGTAGTTCCATAATGCATTGCAAGGCGGAATAACTTCAACTGCAGCACCGTTTAAGATGTTTACATAAAGGCTGACTGTGAAGCACGAGGAGAATTACTGTAAAAATCTGAAATAGTGGTGTACAGGCCTTATGCTCCTGAACATGATATTGATATTAGATTTAATCATATCTGCATTATGTATAGCCATACATACGCTGACACGCCTCTTTTCTGGAGCACTAACTTTGACATGTGACGGGACTCTTGGGTCACGTGTGTCATGTGTTGAAGAGCGTTACAGCCATGTAAGATATGTCAGTCCACGGCCATGTCGCGGGAGTACAGTGTTGTTGTCACGCTGAGTTTGTCGTATGTGACAGCTGGGAGACTGACTGTCATGGTATTTTAGTCATGGTACATTAGACATGATCCTGTTTGTCTCTATCTCTATTTGCATAATTGATTTACAAGAGAATCGTGACGCAGATTTTAAAACAGTTGAGTCAGTGCTAGGTGTTTGCTGAATTTCCAGTTGATAGAATGTCAATGAATATACATTATAACAACTCATATTTTTACATTTAAATGACAAGGTCAGTAAGCCTCAAGTGAGTGACATGAAAAAAACAGCATATATACTCATGGAAACAAATAAGGGAACACATGAAAGTACAAGTGTTCCTTGATAAATTTCCAGAATTTCACCCACATGGCAATACATACCTTGTGAAGAAACCTGGAAATGTAAAAAGGAACACTTGTACTTTATAACAATATAACATCACTAGACACACTGTGATATTTTATGTTGACTGATCTGCATTGTTATGATTATGATGACCATGTGTATCTGTTCCTGAAACAAAGCTGGGGACAGTAGTCAGCTCACGGCAGAGGCCCAGATAAGCTGCGTATCCGGGTAAAATATGCATAGAAAATTTTCATTTACGCACTGAAAAATAATTGTTGCGTACCAATTACGCATTAAAAATGTTAGATGTGCAAAAAGTTTAAAACAAATGCGTACGCAATATATGTATAAAAATCGCTTGCGCAATGAAAAAGACATTGATTGCTATCAAGTTGTACTGTTAGTATAGGACAAGTGTTGTACTGTCAGTATAGGATGAGTGATTTTTTATGAAATCATTTCCATTATATTTAAGTTGGTTTTGATTAGGTATGACATAAGGCAGAACATACCTGCTTAGTAAACTTACTCAATGACATAATACTTACGTAAGTAAAATGACTGAAATACGCACATATTTGAAAGCAGTGGGTAATGGAAAATGAAATACCCACTCAACATTCATAATACCCACTCCAAAAATATTCAGTGGGTACAGTACCTACATGAGCTGAATCTTATCTGGAGCTCTGTCATGGTTTACACAATGTTCCGTGATTTATTTGTGATTCTGATCATAAATACCTTATAATATAACTGTCAAGAAATTGTAATGCATATGCGTACCAGGAATACTGCATTATGATGTGTTTAGGTGCAGTTTTGACTGATTATATTTCTATTACAATAACTATTAACATGACACATTGTTGTATTACCCAATAGTTTTTACATTTGTGATAGTTTTGCGTACTCGATGCTTCGATAATGAAATGTTGTGCTGACACTTGTATAATAGTCACACAACTACAAAAATGGACTTTTCCCGAGTCAAAGTAAGCCATCTGTCGTAGATGCATCCTTTCCCTGAACACTACGGTTTGTTTAGGTTGTTGGTAATGGTAATATCATCTGATTCAATACAGAGGCTCAGATCAACAGTGATTGCAAACCAAAAGTCACCGTGTTCTTTAATCTGATTGGCTGAAAAACATGATCGAATAGTATTCAATTCCCGGAAATTGCAAGACTATTCACTGCATATTGACACGTACAAATATCTCACACAGTTGTATTGTTGCGTCGTCAGCAGTGACGACGTCATTCGAAGAATATTGTGACGTAAAGTCTGAATGACTTCACAAATGAGCAGTTCCAGATGCTACCATGGGAACCAGCTGAAACGGCCAGCTGATGACACTTCCCTGCTTTACACGTACTCGATGCAATGAGTGCAGACAGTAAAACCCATGTGGACCTTTTGGTTTACTTTTGAGTTTACAATGTTGATAAACATGTGTTGGCCAATTTCCAGGTGTTATTGAGTATTTGAAGTGCTTCAAATACTCAATAATACCCGGAAATTGGCCAACACATGATGTTTATCTCCTAAATGAAATCCTTCAATTCTCCTAGTAGATCACAAACTAGACTAAGGCTTAGTCTCTGGATATATATAATTTTGATAGTAACAAACAAGCCCATTTATATTGAAAAGGAGCCCTAGGGAGACCAGAGATTCAGAACCTGAACCTGAGGAAATCTAGACTTGCTTCGTTTAGGGCTTTAGCACTACAGGGAAGGCTAGGCTGTAGGGAAAATAATGTGGTTCAGGGACTGTGAGACAGACTAATCACGAACATAAATGCTGATGTACAGTGAACACTTTCATAACCCGATATTGTAGTAACAAGACTGACTTTGCTGGCATGCAAATACTGGATTTTAGTGCCATTTTGTAAAGGATAAAAGTCATAAATTTTTCAAATTTTATTTTCAAAATGTGAGAAAAAGTGTTTAACTTCTTTGAGGCCTGACAACCCAATCCCGTTAGTTACCCCTTGTGACGAGCATTGTTTGCTGAAGACCAGTTCTAACTGGATCTTCAGGGGTCAGATTTATGTAGAAGTGTCTGTAAACCATGTAGATGTACCGTTTTAAAAGTATGTCTGTCAGATGAGTTTTTATTTCTTTAAACTGTATCTGTTTCTAAGCTTTTCCTGATCATGGTGAAACTAATATGTTATATTTTTATATTTTCGTAATATCTGAATTCTATATTGCCTGTTTTGGTTGGAATTAATAAGGAATTCTTTTGTATATATTATTACTTCATGATACATAATGACACATGTGTTCATGTGGCCTGTGGTTGTGTTTAAAAATGCAAGTATATATTTGTATAATGTGAATGTCAAACAGTCGCTTTACTTTCAATGTTGACATACATTATGTAGTGTATAAAAATGTTTACCAGACCATCGGGCTGGCTAGCTGTAAATTTAGACCGTCAGGAATCTAGACAGTCTTGGGCGGTCGGACGGGCTAATTTCATACACTGCATTATGCCTTGACTGAAATGTGTTAACAGCAAAGTGAGAAAAGTATGTAAACAGATCCATGTATTATGTTGTAACAGATTGGTTTGCAGCTGCTGCTCCCATTAACGGACGTTTTTATCCGTGTGTTTTCAGGAGATGTTGACAGATCACAATGGTTGGAAGTATCCACACCACCGAAGACACAACCAACGGTCAGCTTTCACCTGACAGAGCCAGAAATGCTGGACTGTGTGATGACTCCAAGGGGGAACAACTCTCAGTAGGCAGTCATAAAGGGAGACAACCCATGGATGGTGAAGAAATGCACTCAGCTGGTAAAGAAAATGGAAAAGATGTGGACAGAGATGATAATGAAGGGACCCAACTTGTTGGAGATGAGAAACAGAGTGAACATGGGGATGCGGAGGATGAAGGAGATAAATGTGAAGTCCGAGTTGATGTGGAAGACAAACCAAGCCAGACTGTTGATTATGGGTTTTACAAGTGGATTGTTGTTTTGGGGTGTTTTTTCCAACATTTCTTAACAGGTATGTCAAGTTTGGTATTCTATACATATAAACACAAACAATGCAAGATGAATTGGTGCTTTTGAAATATACCATTCAAAAAATGTAGGGGATATTGGATTTACAAGATTGATAAAATGCAAATGATGAAGCCAAGGAGGAAACAGATGATGAAGAGAAATTAAGGGAAAATGTGACAATTTATTCCATTCCTTTGGAAATGTTTCATCTGTATGGATATATATTATTTTTCTCATATGCATTGGCTAGTGGTATGCTAAAAAAATGGAAGATCCCCTACTTTTTTTTAATGGTATATATACCACTCAAAAGATATTAAACTACACTGTTTCTTTCAGTTGACTATAGTTAATGATGACATGTCATGAGAGGCTTCATTGTTATATGGAATTAGCGGTGTGTGGTTCTGTGCACAGAGCTCAGGTCACGAATCAGTTGAAGTTAAGCAACGTCGAGCTCGGAGAGCCATTGGATGGTTGACTGTGTTTGGCAGCTCGACTCTTGAGAGTTTCTAAGACTTCAGTCCTGCCCCACAAAGAAGTACATGTGATACATGTGGTCCCACCTTAGGCAAGTGGGTTTGGTCAAACTTGTCTCTGTTCACCCAGCAGAAAATGGGTACCTGGTGGGATAAGTCATGTGACTATAACCTTCTAGCACCTCACAGGCAGCTTGGGTTATCCGAGGTGATAATAATTAAGCGCTGTGAGCAATCACTTGGTGTTTGGAGACTGTGTGCTATAGAAGATGACTTATTACTAATAATCAGATTGTAGCGCTTTGAGTGTGCCCCTCCGTGGTGCGGAATTCAGCTCCTTTACATGCCCTTATTGTAGTTAGTCCCAGGTGCTCCTCAATTCCTTTGAGTAGTATACATATTTGAAAGACATTGACACACATGAAGCTTGAATGTCGTTTGATGCCAAACTGATGTCAAAACAGAACTAATGACAAAATGTGAACCCAGTTGTGATGCTACAGAACTATAACACTACAGAACTATAACGCTACAGAACTATAACGCTACAGATCTGTAACGCTACAGAACTATAATGCTACAGAACTATAATGCTACAGATCTGTAACGCTACAGAACTATAATGCTACAGAACTATAACGCTACAGAACTATAACGCTACAGAACTGTAATGCTACAGAACTATAACGCTACAGAACTATAATGCTACAGAACTATAACGCTACAGAACTATAACGCTACAGAACTATAACGCTACAGAACTATAACTCTACAGAACTGTAATGCTACAGAACTATAACTCTACAGAACTATAACGCTACAGAACTATAACTCTACAGAACTGTAATGCTACAGAACTATAACGCTACAGAACTATAACGCTACAGAACTATAACGCTACAGAACTATAACTCTACAGAACTGTAATGCTACAGAACTATAACGCTACAGAACTATAACGCTACAGAACTATAACGCTACAGAACTATAACGCTACAGAACTATAACTCTACAGAACTGTAATGCTACAGAACTATAAAGCTACAGAACTATAACGCTACAGAACTATAACGCTACAGAACTATAACGCTGCAGAACGGTACAGAACTATAACGATACAGAACTGTAACGATACAGAACGCTACAGAACTATAACGCTACAGAACTATAACGCTACAGAACTATAACGCTACAGAACTATAACGCTACAGAACTATAACGCTACAGAACTATAACGCTACAGAACTATAACGCTACAGAACTATAACGCTACAGATCTATATCGCTACAGAACTATAATGCTACAGAACTATATTGCTACAGAACTATAATGCTACAGAACTATAATGCTACAGAACTATAACAGTACTTGCATGAGAAACACAGGATCACTGGTAGGGCTGTGCAATATAACCGGTTTACCGGTATTTACCGGTCCAGACATAAAACGATATGTATTGCGATACGCTGATCGAAAACCGGTATATTTTGACATGCATTCGGAAAACTTCGTAACAGTCGGAAATCTTCGGATATTTCCGTTTTTGAATTGTTCTTTTCCCTGTTTCATTAGTGTCAAATGTTACTTACCTTTTTATTTTGTCATGATTTAAAGTTTTCATAAAAGGTTAATCAATCATAGTGATTTTGTTGTGTTTTTGCTTTATAATCAAGCATTAACTCGACTCTATAAGTAGTTTTTGTTAAAAAAATAATTCTTGCAATATATTGCAATACATATCGCAATATATGCTTTCGCATCGCAATTTATCGCAATATCGAAATTCTCTGCAATACCCACCCCTAATCACTCGACATGCATGTTCTTCGCTTCAGCTGCCACATAGGTTTGTCACACCTTCCTTGTGCCTGGCATTTTACAAAGTGTATGTTTGCAGGTTGCTCTGATAGTGTAATGTTTTTCACAGGGGGGTTTGAGCGAACAGACGGGGTGCTGTACCTGAAGCTGATCAACAGATTCAACCAGAGTGCACAAGCTACAGCCTGGGTGGGGTCTCTGTCGTCGACGGTGCGGCTGATGCTGGGTAGGTGGGAGTGAGCAGGAACGTCAAGTGTACATTGTCTCTGTTTAATGGTGGGACAAATATCCCCATGACTCCAGCTGATCTGACCCCTGCTGATCTGACCCCTGCTGATCTGACCCCAGCTGATCAAACCCCTGCTGATCTGACCCTGGCTGATCAAACCCCTGCTGATCTGACCCCTGCTGATCTGACCCTGGCTGATCAAACTCCAGCTGATCAAACTCCAGCTGATCTGACCCTGGCTGATCAAACTCCAGCTGATCTGACCCCAGCTGATATGACCCTGGCTGATCAAACTCCATCTGATCAAACTCCAGCTGATCTGACCTCTGCTGATCAAACCCCAGCTGATCTGACCCCAGCTGATCAAACTCCATCTGATCTGACCCCAGCTGATCAAACTCCAGCTGATCTGACCCCTGCTGATCTGACCCCAGCTGATCAAACTCCAGCTGATCTGTCCCCAGCTGATCAAACTCCAGCTGATCTGACCCCTGCTGATCTGACCCCAGCTGATCTGACCCAAGCTAATCGAACTCCAGCTGATCTGACCCCTGCTGATCTGACCCCAGCTGATCTGAGCCCCGCTGATCAAACTCCAGCTAATCAAACTCCAGCTGATCTGAGCCCAGCTGATCAAACTCCAGCTGATCTGACCCCGCTGATCAAACTCCAGCTGATCTGTCCCCTGCTGATCAAACTCCAGCTGATCTGACCCCAGCTGAATGATGTGCAGTTTTCAGTATTATTCACCCATGTTAGTTCTAAATTTAATGAAATTTGCTCAATGTGTATTGTATGGTGGAGCCCAACATAGGTGTTGCAGGTTTTAGGATATTTTAAATTTTGACCTTAATTCGACCTTTGCACTTTATCTCTCACTTGTCTTAAATGTGGCCTCAGCTTTGTAAACATATACCCTTCCTTATTGCTGCTGTTTTTTGTCTAAAACAGCTCCTTAACTAGTTCCAGTGGACAGAATGAAATTGTCAATATGGCCTCCGTGTAAGCCATATCATAATGCATAGTTTGTACTGTTAATGGAAACTAGGTACGCTTTGAGGTAAATAAGTATTGTTTAGTCAACTTTTCCAGGCCCCGTGTCCAGTGCCTTCAGTAACCGGTTCTCGAGTCGAGTGGCCACCATAACGGGCGGCATCATCATGACTGTCGGTGTCCTCATCAGTGGCTTCGCTCCAAACCTCATCTTCCTCTACTTCAGCTACGGCGTCATTGGAGGTGAGTGGCACTTTTTCACAGCTATTTTTTCAGACCTTTTTTAATTCAGGTAACTGAAATATACTTGATGTAACTGTCTCCTTCACTGTTTTCCCACCTGCACCGCTCCACTCACTCACTCACTCACTCCAGCTGCACTCCTCTGCATCCCGCTCCCCTCCTCTCCTCTCCACTCCACTCCTCTCTACTCCATCCCGCTCCACTCCACACCACACCACACCACAGAGGGGTGGAAATAACTTTAAAATTGCTAGTGTACTCCGGAACAATGGCACATGTGAAATCTCTTGCCCTGATAATATTTCCACTATACCGGCCATTTTCTTGTTGATTTTTAAAAATAAACAACATAAATAACATTGGAAAGTGAACTGGACACCGGTACAGTGTGATATACAAATTTGCTTGCTCGACAGAAAAAAACACTGGACTTGGACGTCGGGCAATGGGTTATTTCCACCCCTGCCACACCACACCACAACGCACCGCACCGCACCGCTCCGCTCCACTCCGCTCCACTCCACTCCACTCCACTCCACTCCACTCCACTCCACTCCACTCCACTCCACTTAACAGATGCTATATTTCGATCCAGGTATTGGCCGGAGCTTGTCGTATACCCCTGGCCTGGTCACGGTGGGACAGTACTTTGCCAACAAACCCGGGTTGGCGGTGGGTCTGGCTACATCAGGTGTTGGCGCCGGAGCGTTTGTCATACCACCGTTAGCTGACTTCTTGTTTGACGAGTTCAACTTCGTGGGGGCTTTCCTCATCTTGAGTGGGCTGGCTCTAAACTTGGTTGTCAGTGGAGCTTTGTACAGGCCCCTTGATCTGCATAAGAAAATACTGGCAGTACAGAGGTGGGTGCTTTGACATTCTGCATTACAAACGTTAATGCACTCACTCACTCACTCACTCTAGAGTAGGGGCGGTGGGGTAGCCTAGTGGTTAAAGCGTTGGCTTGTCACGCCGAAGACCCGGGTTCAATTCCCCACAAGGGTACAATGTGTGAAGCCCATTTCTGGTGTTCCCCACCGTGATGTTGCTGGAATATTGCTAAAGGCGACGTAAAACCAAACTCAGTCAGTCAGTCACATGCCCTCTCCATAGTAACAGAAATAAAGATTACATTCTGCGTAATATTTCTGTCATTTTAAGGCTGAAGTTTATGTTATGGGTCCACAAAGTACAAATTATGTCACAATTAATGAGTTTGTATTTATACTTTGCACAAAAAAACACACCAAAAAGTAGAAAAATTGGAAATATCTGACTTTTGCTGATATTCATACAAAATGAATACCATATATGAATTTCTCATGTCGACACGCATCAGGAGTGATTTGTGCTGGTAGGATATAGTTTGGCCACAAAATACCAGAATACACACCAACATGAAATGAACATGCAACATAAAATGATGGGCTGTGTCATCACCATTGTACAGCAGGTGAAAACTGAAGACATGCCACAACTGACAGAGACTATAGTCCGTTTGGCTCAAAAGCGGACCGATGAATTGCAGTCTAACTCGAAAACTAATAAACATAACTTACTCAATGAAACGCTGATCATAATCAAAACATCATACCCACTCTGTGAGGTTTTTGCAGAATTTTTGTCCTAAAAATAATAATGTTGCTTAACAATCTATCATTAAAATATTGACACAGTTCACTATTTGTTACGAGGGAGGAGTGCAGAGAAAGGGACAGCCAGGTGTTCGAGAAGCACGTGCTCAGACAAAGTTATTTATTCATTAACCTGTGCTGTGCCGTCTCCATCCGTTCTGCAAAAACCTCACAGATGTTTTGGGTATGATGTTATGTTTATTAGTTTTGGAGTTAGATTGCAATTCATCGGTCCGCTTTTGAGCCAAACGGACTATAAACTGAACTACACCATCAGCTGACGGCTTCCATGTTGTGAACAAATGACCTTCATGTTGACATTTGATTGTTTATGTGTGCCATTATGCATATATACTGAGGGAAAGAAATAAGGGATCACCTGAAAACACAAGTATTCCTTTCTTATTTTACCAGATTTCTTTGCAAGACTTTTTTCCCTCAGTTTTTTTTTTATGTGTGTTGATTATATATATCATTATCATACACAATGTATATACAGTCAAATACCGATGAGTCGAATGCCGGTGTCTCGAATATTATGCATAACTCGAAGTACCTGTCAGTCCCGACCATTCCCTGTTATAGTTGTCATTATTTGAATACCGGTTACACGAATTCGTCTCATAAATACACACGATGACTCGAGAAGGAAATTTGGTCCCTTGAGATTCAAACAACAGCAATCTTGTATACATAAGCCGAAGTCAGTCAATGAGAAGTTGATTGGTGTAGCAAACTGATCCAATTAACAAACCAGCGCGGCTCACACCTTTCCGCCATTGACGGGTGAGTTCAAAAGGCAGATTAGTGAATATTACGGAAATCACTGTCTGTGCTAATCTGACTGATAAGGTGCCCCTATTAGTGATATGGAAATCATTAGATAAACAAATGCTTAGGCAGAGGAATTAGGACTGGATCATCTTTTTTTCTACCCTCATAGACATACCTATGTCTCGAATACATCGATAAGTTGAATTTATTACTTGGTCCCCAGCGATTCGACTCATCGGGATTTGACTGTATCTGGAAACCACTTTTTTGTATTTTGTAGTATATATGCATGTGTATTTTTAAATATAGAGGGTAAGTTTATGTTTTCATTTCAGAAAAAAGAAAGAAAGAGCCAAGTTGAATTCCCCCCATGAAGACCAAGCTGAAACACATGCAAGGGAAGACGTAGAGCTACTGCTTGTCGACAAGCATGTGTCAGTCAAAGACACCCAAAAAGAAGTCCTTACAGATTCCCAAAACTCTGATGGTCACAAGTACTCTGCTGTTACAGCAACAGACCAGGTTGCTCCCGAGAAAGCTGATTCCGTTGACAACGACAAAAGGCCTTGCTGGCGTGGTATATTCACAAAGTGTGTTCCTGAAAAAAGCGAAAAACTTCAGAAGGAGAAAAAAACGAAGCTTTTGGAATTGTCACTATTGAAAAACCTTCCTTTTTTATTGTTTTGTATAAGCATAGCCCTGTTTACATTATCCTTTAAATCTGCATTTACTTTTTTACCTGCGTTGGCAAAGTCCCGCGGCTGCACTGAGAGAGAGGCGGCATTGCTCATGTCAGTATCTGGTATCCTTGACACCATTGGTCGGATTATAACAGGATTCGTCTTAGATTTTAGAAAAATTCGAAATTTCGACCATATGTGTACAATGGAGTGATGTTCCTGATTGCAACGCTGTCCTTCGTGTGTCCATCATTGCATTCATTTTGGCAGTTCTGTGTTCTGTGTGGACTTTATGGCGCCTTGACTGGTGCCTATGTGTCTCAGAAGTCCGTCATCATTGTGGACATTCTTGGAGTGGAGAAACTTTCTAGTTCCTTCGGACTGTTGATTTCCTTCCAAGGAATCGGTACCCTGATTGGCCCTCCGGTCTCAGGTAAGAATTGGTAGGATCAGCGTCAGGCAGTTACTGATTAGATGAGGGGAATTAATCACAGGGCTCACGATGTGTTACATTGGAGATAATGCTTTCTTACTCACGTACAAATCTATGTCTTTTTCAGTGAGTATCCCAAAGCTACACTAATTATGTCAAGAGAGAAATGTTGGTTTTCGCGGGCATAGTTTATCCTATAATCCTCTTAACAACTGCCCAGGTGGAAAAATATCTGAATGATGTGTTTCTTCTAGATTGCCTCACAAGATTTTAGAGGTCTGATTTCACTCACTCACTCCCTCACTCACTCACTCACTCGCTCACTCTATCAAACATTCTCCTTTGTATCTAAACTAGTTGAGGAAGAGGGGTAGCCTAGTGGTTAAAGTGTTCGCTCTTCATGTCAAAGACCTGATTTAATTCCCCATGTAGTACAATGTGTGAAGTCTATTGTGGTCCCTGGTGTGATATTGCAAGAGTATTCAGGGCTCCAGATAACTTTTGGGGGTGTAAGTGTACTTACAAATCATATTGCAAGTGGAGGTGTACTGAGAATTTTGAAGGAGTACTGGCATGTTTTTGTGTGAGTGAGTTGATGTGGTTTGTCTGGACGATTCATCGATCACTAATTCCAACCATGTATTTGTATTTGAAGTCGCATGAGAAATAACTGAGCGACTGTGTGATGCGCGAAATGTCAGGTCCGACTGGATATAAATAGGAACAGTGTAGTTTTTAGCCAATCGAAAAATAGTGACGCATATCGTTGCATGGCAACGCAAGGGATTCCTAATGTCGGGGTTTCCTTATGTGTCAAATCTTGTTTCGCAAAAGAAACTTAACAACAAGTATTTATCCGAAATAGATTTCCATTTGCACGATACGCACGGAAATTAAATGCTAGACGTACGAAGGTATTTATGTGCATACACGATACGCTTGAAATCTTATATTATGTCGTACTTAATTGATTTTGAGGCGTACATTACGCCTGTACGCCCCTTATCTGTAGCCCTGGTATTGCTAAAAGTGGCGTAAAACTAAACTCACTCAGATCAGTGGAAATCAGACATGATATCAGGCCTTCAGAGAAACACTAGGATCTCCTCCTCATTGGTTATTTCGAGAATCAGAAACTAAGAGGAAGTTTGTTTGTACCAGATTGTCTCGGCTGTTTCAGGTGTGTTCAAGGACGTGTTTGGCGACTATACCCTGGCGTTCTACTTTGGTGGCGCCATGATCATCCTGGCAGCCATCATCATGATCTTCTCCAACGTGCTGCTGGCAATACAGAGAAGAAATCAGGTCAACTTGAAGAGGTAAACAGGATGGGGAGAGACGGTGAATAGGTGGAGTGTGTAAAGTACATACTCTCTGAGACTAAGCGTCCGTTGTTCGTAATCATGTTTCCACGCAAAATTGGTAGATTGCAGGTGCCTTTTGCTATTTACAGGAGTGTGACTTAGTCTGGTTTAGCATAACTCAAGAACCATTCAATATTTTCAACAAAACTTGTGTCAGATCCTAAAGTCCAAATTTTGGCATTTTATCTTGAAGATATAATGTTGGAGAGGTAAACACTGTCTTGAAGACATGAACACTCAAAAGTAGCCTTGATAAATGTAGATATATCAAACAGATCCTAAAGTTGTGCCTTTTGCTATTTGCAGATTTTGGCATTTTTTATTTTCCCGGTTTCCATGGAAACGATGACTTAATCCCAAAAAGGGTCTTAGTCTAACTGAATTTTTCAACAAAACTTGGTAGATGTATGAAACAGAACTTAGTCTTGGAATATGGAAACAAATCTCAAAAGTAAGGATTGTCTTGAATCAACAAAATGATATATAAACACTTGAGATTTTTGCATTTTTTTTTTCCGGTTTCCATGGAAACGATTGGGACTTAATCCCAAAAAGTGAGCCTTGAATATGTGAATATGTGAGGCAGATCTTTAGTCTTGAAGAGGTAAACTTAGTCTCAAAAAGGAAGGGATGGGTCTTGAACACAATATGTAAACTCTTGGCAGATTGTCAGGCAGATCTTGCCTTTGAGAGGTATTATTTTCTCAGTTTCCATGAAAACAATTTGGACTTAGTCTGAAGGTTTTGTTTATGTAAACACAGATATGTGAGGCAGATAGTCTTGAAGAGTTTAGCACTGTCTTGTTAACCTTTATTATGTGTAGGTGTTTTTTTTTAAAGATTACAGATTTGTCCTGGGCAGTTTATGGAAGCTTAATCATGTTATTTCAGCCAACTACTGCAGGTTAGATTGTTTTCCAGGATTTGTATCTCTTCATGTTGCTAACACCATTTCATACTGACATCAGTCCCTCTGACAATGTTGCACTATACAGGATGTTGACAGGAATACGTTTTCTGAAAGGTCGCAACACAGAATTTCCCACATCACATTTGTCATGAAGACATGTTGGACTGAGAAGATGGTTGGGGAATCGATCAGGAGAGAAATTGTCATTTTTGTATTCAACAATGATTGGCTAATGTCTGTTGAACTCATGGTTTTTTTTACATGTGTGTTCCAAGAATTGTGTTGTGACAGAATCCACGTTGATACATATAATCAAGAACTATATTTGCCTTGTCAGGATGTTTATCTTGTTCCTCTTGTCAACGGAGTGGGTGGTGGGGTAGTCTAGTGGTTAAAACGTTGGCTCGTCACGCCGAAGACCCGGGTTCGAATCCCCACATGGGTACAATGAGTGAAGCCCATTTCTGGTGTCCCCCGCCGTGATATTGCTGGAATATTGCTAAAAGCGGCGTAAAACCAAACCCAGTCAGTCAGTCTTGTCAACGGCTTGTGTGACTCTTTTTCCTCTCTATTTCTTATGCTGTTGTTTTGAGCATAATCAAAATAAAAAATACATTATATTCAATTTTGATACCAAGTGCTCTAAATTTGTTGGATGAAACAAAGATGAATTTACAAGATGATGTAAAAGTCAACAAAGTGGAACTGTCTTCCTACTGTAGACTTGCGGCAGAAATATATGATTGTGGGTTGAAATCTGGCCCACTACAGACTCAGCTTCATATACCACAGTTCACAACCTTAACCTCAAGGGAGAACTTGCTTTAAAGTTAAGCAATAACCGACAGATTTTATCTCCTTTTGGAAACTCAATTATTATTAATCAATGATTTTTGTTGCTTGGGAAGACGTGACATTAAATGGCTGTTATGAAGTTTTTATACTCGCATTAATAATTCTGTTATTTATTATCATTCAGCCAATTTTTGTACCAGTGGCACCAAACTATATAATGGCCTGTTTCTATTTTATGTATATGTAGATAGTTGTCTAACCATACAACATAAGCCCTAAGGCCCCCCCCAAAAATATGTCCGTTTCAGGTAACCCGACCGACCCTATCCTCACACACACACACACACACGCACGCACGCACGCACGCACGCACGCACGCACACACACACACACACACACACACACACACACACACGAATGACCCTAAATCATTTTTGAACCAAGTCAATATCGTGACTGGAGTGCATTTCAAATCATTATTTTCATCCAAATCGAGTATGATATTTTCATGTTTTTCAGTGTACGTAGGGCTAAAATGGATTGCATTGAATTGGCATAATGGGTCCTCACTGACCAAATCTACAAATAAATAACATGAATAATGATTTGATATAGAAATCTTTCAATGTTTCACCATAAGGCATTGTCACTACATGATATGGTACTCTTGAAGACCTCAGGTGCCCACCTGGTGCTACTATAAAAGAAAAAGAAAAGTTTTTAAAAAAAGATAAAACCGACCCACCTACCCTATTTTTAAAAAGCATGTAATAGGAAACGGACATATATTTTCTTTTGCCCTAAGACAAAACGTTGAATGGCAGGACAGATGAAATATATATTGTTGTATTGCTCCCAGAAGGGGGTCCAGTATCTTGTCAAACTTTGATACTGCTTAGGATGCTTGGCATTATGTGTCCTTGTCTTCGGTCATCAGTCAAGGGTTGTGACTGCGGCACTCCGTTCAGGAGAAACACGTTCAAGTGTACGTCACTTGGAATCATATATATAGGCAGGGGCGGATCCTGAGAGGGGGGGGGGGGGGTTTGCACGCATCCCCCTCTTCTCCCCCAGAAAAAATTATCCCCGAGGAAAATTTCCCCCAAACCTGTGGACTTCCTGATTTATCTGCACACGCGTTGAAGTGTCCTCGTTGAAAGGGGTTGAGGTTTACATGGAGTTGTATAATGGAGTTTCTGCTGCATTTGTGTGGGGACAATATGGAGGGCAATATGGCTTCTTGAATCTGTTGGGCATATTGTCACTTATTGATAAATTCATACGCAAAAATTTTTTTTGCATGGCTTGTTAATTATTTGTTTTATATGTGAAATGCTGTCCTCGGATCAATGGTGCTTTTTGTATTACATTATGTTTGTGACAGACTGTTTGATTGGCATTTTAGGAGTTAGTAAATAATATGTGTACAAATTTATGTATTGTTATTATGTTATTTTCATAAATGACTTTTCCATGTTGATTCTTAAGCTGGAGTTTCCTTTGTGTCAGTTCCCCTTGTCTACTCTTCACCTGTCTCCATCCAGTTATCTGTGTTCTACTTAACTCTTACCTGTTGTTAATGTCGCTGAGGTGTATCTTCCTCTGGTCGCTTGTTGTAACATCAGCTTGACGACTGTTGACATGTACACGGAGCTTCACTCATTATATAACCAGAAGTTGTTATCAAGTTGTATGCATTCTCATTGAAATGACCAGTTTGTTTTATGTTATCATTAATTTTGTTATATTTTATTCAAGTTTTGTTAGTGTGAGATATAGTGTGAATATATCGTGAAAGATGATAAAATTGAAAATGCATTAATATTGTTGTTTTTTGTAAAGTTTAATGTGACCAAGTTTATACTACAGTCCGTTTGAGTCAGAAACGGACCGATGAATTTGCAAATTTTATCATTGTACAAAATTGCCACGTAAATATAAATAGTACACATGTTTATCATTTACTAATACCCAACAGCTTTCTTATATTTGAACATTTTCCGGACTCCACCAAAAAAGTTCTTTAAGAAACTATCATTAAAATTTTGACACAGTTCACTATTTGTTACAAGGGAGGAGTGCAGAGAAAGGGACAGCCAGGTGTGCGAGAAAGGATGGAGACGGCACAGCACAGGCTAATGAATCAATAACTTGGTGGACACTTGTGCACGTGCTTCTCTAACACCTGGCTGTCCCGTTCTCTGCACTCCTCCCTCGTAACAAATAGTGAACTGTGTCAAAATTTTAATGATAGTTTCTTAAAGAACTTTTTTGGTGGAGTCCGGAAAATGTTCAAATATAAGAAAGCTGTTGGGTATTAGTAAATGATAAACATGTGTACTATTTATATTTATGAGGCAATTTTGTACAATGATAAAATTTGCAATTCATCGGTCCGTTTCTGACTCAAACGGACTGTAGTTCATCTGTCCAACCTACTCATATCACTGGAATACAACATTCGTGGTTTTCACAACAACGAAACCTGCACATGCTGGATATTGAACGGGTCTTCTGACATGAAGATCTTTCCGCTCAACATGAAGATCGTGGCTTCTGAACTTCAGTGAAAACAAACGACCACAACTATGGTGGAGTCTGACACCGGAAGGAACACGAGCCAGGACATACCATGGGCTTCAGATACAGCTCTGTACAACGAGCTGTAGCGCCACACACTATGCCTGTGTTTGCTACCTTCCTCATACACTCACACCGCGTCTCTAGTCCCTGTTACATGACAATATGTAGTCTTGCCAAGCTCCATTCAAGGTAACCCGTGAAGGTCCAGGTTAGAATGTGCCTTCAGTAACCCATGCTTGTCGTAAGAGGCGACTAACGGGATCGGGTGGTCAGGCACATGTCATCGGTTCGCAATTGCGTAGATCGATGCTCATGCTGTTGATCACTGGATTGTCTGGTCCAAACTCGATTACTTACAGACCGCCGCCATATAGCTTGAATATCGCTGAGTGCGGCGTAAAACTAAACTCATTCACTCACCATTCAAGGTAAGGTCAAGTACCATCTTGTCATATCTTGGTATAACGCGGTCAGAGAACCGAACCTACTACCATCTCCGGGCAGATGGTCTATCTACTACACAACTTGGGGCGAGCAATACCTGAAACACACGGATGCCTCATGTCAGCTTATCATGTACAGATTCTAGAACTTTGGGGTTGAGTCCCATCCGGGATTCGAACCCACACTCTCAGAGTGAGCACACAAACATCAGCGATCTGATCCATTTAGTTTTGAGAATGGTATTGTGTACCCATGAACATGGATATGGTGTCACCAAACCAATCATATTGGATTCGAACTCATGATCACAGGGTTCAAGCTCCCATCAACTGTGGCTTCTGGCACTTATGGTCTACAGTGTCCCGGCGCGCACAGCGTGGTCGATACCCTCGCACCGTGCCAGCTGGCATCGTGTCATGACCTTCTATATTTATTGCAACAGATAAATGATTTGGAGATTTTACGTGCGCTTTCCGACACTTTGATAATGTGTATTTCACGCCGAAGACCCGGGCACTGGGATCATTTAGGTGCGTCTATCTGGAATATTGTTAAAAGCGGCGTAAAACCATACACACTCACTCACCTCACTCAGGATTCAAACTAAATATTTTTGCGTGACACTACGCTTTGAAAGACGATAGAGTAGTGTGATTTTACTGAGATTTTACTACAGCCAGCGAATGAACACGTTATCATTGATAATGTTTATCAATACTCACCCGTGAAGGTCCCGGGTTAGAATTGGTCTTCAGTAACCCATGCTTGTCGTGACTATGCTTGTCGTAAGAGGCGATCTTGGTTGACACATGTTATCGGTTCCCAATTGCGCAGATCGATGCTCATGCTGTTGATCGCTGGAGTGTCTGGGATACCGCCGCCATATAGCTGGAATATTGATGTGCGGCGTAAAACTATCACTCAGGATACCATCAAGGATACTCGAGAGTAAATGACCATTTCTCAGTTTAACGTCTGAGAAAGATATGACGACTGCAGTGAGTAAGTGTAGTTTAGCGCCGCTTTTTAGCAATATTCCAGCAATACCCCACGACACATTATACGACTCCGGGACCACACCAGAAATGGTCTTCACATTTTAACGTCTTTGGTGTGGCGCGGTCGGGGATCGAAACCCCATGTTGGGAATCGAACCCAGGTCTTTGGCGTGACGACGCGAACGCAATATTTATCACGGGGACACCAGAAATGGTCTTCACATTGTACCCATGTTGGGAATCGAACCCAGGTCTTTGGCGTGACGAGCGAACGCTTTTACCACTACTGCCCCTGTAAGAGATACTTGTTTTTAGTAATAGTTGTATGGTAATCAACGGAATGGGAACACCTTATATGCGGTAGGGAAATCTGACAGTAGATGTTGAGTTGATAGTAGCTGAGCTTTAGGCTTTAGATAGACGTTTTTAAAAGCTGACGTTTTTGGACGAGTAGTGGTAATACTGTAGCGAATCGGCAAACATTTCAGTCACTAGGTACACTGAGTTCTCTCCTCCCTTGAAGGCGTCAGTTCCACTCCTCGTGCAGCGCACTATCATGTTTAGCCAAGCGATGCCACACCCACCATAATCTGTCATGACGTCTGATGTTGACATTGGCTTGACGTTCATCTCGACGTCACCAGACAATTGTGACGAATCTGAAAACATGACACGTTACCAGTGACGACATCCTTAGTGTCGACGTTGTGTACTTCACCGTAGACTGTTCAGTATGAAGGGGACGCATATCACGTGGCCGTCGAGCAAGGCGATAAGTTACATTCGGATGCTGAATAGCCGTCCTTGACGTTACTTGTTTTGTTGTAGCATGGGTGACGGGGTAGCCTGGTGGTTAAAGCGTTCGCTCGATACGCCGAAGACCCGGTTTCGATTCCCCACATGGGTACAATGTGTGAAGTCCATTTCTGGTGTTCCCCGCCGTGATATTGCTGGAATATTGCTAAAAGAGGCGTCAAACTAACCTCACTCACTCACGTAAGAGGCAACTAACGGGATTGAGTGGTCAGGCTCGCTGTCCTGGTTGACACATGTCATCGTATCCCGATTGCGTAGATCGATGCTCATATATGGTGTTGATCACTGGATTGTCTGGTCCAGAATTGATTACTGACAGACCGCAGCCACACAGCTGGAATATTGCTGAGTGCGGCGTAAAACTTAATTCACTCACTCTTGTGGGTTGTAAATGTTATGTTACTACAGCATTACTGGTCTTTGCCCAGAAGCGCCGTAAAATATCACTTGCTTCAGGGGGATTCAACTATATAGACAGTGCTGGAGATCATATTGTGCGTTGTTTTTCTGTTTTCGCTGTAATTATCGGGACAAACTATATGTGCAGAGAGAAATGAGTGAGTGAGTTTAGTTTTAGGCCGCACTCAGCAATATCCCAGCTATATGGTGGCGGTCTGTAAATAATCGAGTCTAGGCCAGACAATCCAGTGATCAACATCATGAGCATTGATCTACACAGTTGGGATAGGATGACATGTGTCAACCAAGTCAGAGAGTCTGACCACCCGATCCCGTTAGTCGCCTCTTACGACAAGCATGGGTTACTGAAGATTAATCCTAACCCGGATTTTCACGGGTCGTGCAGAGAGAAAGATAGAAATGAATGACTGATTGAGGTTTAACGCCTTTCTAAGAAGTACATCAGTGACAGCACCACGTGTAGGGTAGCCAATGATTCGCTCTGTGATCCCTCAACAGGGGCGTAGGAACAGGGGGTAGGGTGGGCTTTTTTCAAGACGAAACCATGTCTATTACCATAACTAATTTCATTTTGATTTTCAATACTTTTCATAAATTAGCCCACCCTACTCTGAAAACCGTTCCTACGCCCCTGCTCAAAGTCACAGGTGGAATCAGACTTGGAGCTGTATCACGATAGTGTTGATGCCGGGCACCGAATCCACAAACCGCTCCTAGAGTTATAAGCTAACCAGACTCTCATGGTGCTTGGAGTAAGGTGCCTGTGTCTGCTTGGGAGAGAGTCTATCTCACAGAGTATCTGACAGAGAGTGAGTCTGACTGAGAAGAGAGAGTTTGTCTGAGTGAGAGTCTGTCTGATGGTGTCTCCGGCACACCCATGTAATTATTCAGATCCGTATCATCTCTTATGGCGGCGGTCTTAAACTAAATGCCCTGAATATAACTGGAACAATCCAGTAATAAAACAGCAAATAAAGCAAAATCAACAATTTGGAACCGATGACATGTGTCAACCAAGTCAGCGAGCCTGACAACCCGATCCCGTTAGTCTCCCTTACGACAAGCATGGGTTACTGAAGGCCAATATTCTAACCCGGGGCGCATCACGCTCCTGTCTGCTGAAGCCAATTTCTGCGTCCCCGCCGTGATGTTGAGGCCAGGTACAATACCTGGTAGAACGTCTCCCAGTTAGGGGATTCCCCACACAGCCGGTGTTGCTTGGTACCGACACGTGCTCGGCTGGTGTTTGTGAGAGACACGACCAATCAGTTGCTAGACAACCAATACAGTTGTTCTGCCAAGTGTAAGAAATCATGAAACATTATCGAAAGTTGCCGTTAATTTCAACAATTTACAAAACATATTCCTCAGGGTCACTGCGAGCAATATGTAACAGTTTTTTTCAGTAAAGCAAGGGATGGATGAAACGCGAATATATTCGAAGACGAAATGACCTGACCCTGAAACGAGACATGCCACAGCGACCTTTCCCAACAACAACAGCATTTCATGTTCCTTCTCAGCTGTTCTAGTGCACGTATTGCACGTGCACAACATGCCTATAGTCACAACACAATCCAAATCTCGTGGTGCCACGCACTAAACCCGTCGCTATACAGTCACATGACCATATCACGTGATGAACTACGACTTACCAGATGTGGCTCCGTTAAGTATGTTTTTGTGGCCTTTTATTACCCCGGAGAAAACAGGTGTGCTATGATAATAATCTTCCATGAATGACTGTGAAACGGTGAGTGTGGAATGTAAGCGGTAGGTGAAGCCGCTTGCTACACAGACAAGAGGAGCGGAAGTAGACACAGGGGGCTAGACTCAATCGGCTGTGGGCAATCAGCTGAGCAGTTCGATCACTAATATCATTTGCTGCTCTCAAATTTCGTTCATAATAACAAAGCAGTGTTAATGTGATCCTCATATTTTTAAAGATATTAATAAATTTATTCTTAAAATCATTTTGTTTGTATAGAGAGAAAATGGACTCGACAATTTGTGTAAAATGTTATTTGATTTTCCTCTAAACAAATTCACAAAACTTTGGGGTGTCCAATACGCATTGTTCAACAGATTGGAAATATGTATACAAACATAAGTTTGCGAAATTCAATCCTCAGGTCGTGAATGTGTGATAATCTTTAAAATTCACACTTTGGGGCTTAAAAATAAGATAGTTACCCATATATCTGTTATCAAACCTCCTCAATCTGAAGTTTCCAGTTTCATCAGAACACTCGTGCCCAATATGCTTTGTTTAACTGATTGGAAATATGTATATAAACACATAATTTTACGAAATCCATTTTCAGGTGGGGAATGTGTGATAATCGTTAAAATTAACACTTTTTGGCATAAAAA